GAGGCCACTGGAACCTGATAGAGCTGCTAATGGGTTGTATGTCATTCATTCAGATCTTATTGTGGCACAGTCTATTTCATATGTAAATACCATTTCAGCTACTTTTTCATCTCTTAAATGTGATTACAATGCTTATACCACTACTTGTAATCATGTTTCTTCTATCAATAAATTCGATCTTTTCTGGCATCAAAGACTAGGGCATATGCCATTTAATAAAATGAAATCTATTTCAGTTCTTGCTGAAAAATTATCTTCAAAACAATCTTTTATTTGTCTTGTTTGTCCTTTAGCTAGACAACAAAGGCTTCCATTCCCAGATAGCACTATCAAGTCTACTCATTCTTTTCAACTTGTACATATTTATCTATGGGGTCCTTATCATACAAGAACATATAATGGTTTTAGGTATTTCTTGACTATTGTTGATGACTTTTCAAGGGTGACCTGGACACACTTACTTTCCTATAAGAGTAATGCTTTTCTGTTATCAAAGCTTTTGTTTCCATGGTCCAGATCATTTTAATTCTAAAGTTCAAACAATTAGGTCTGACAATACTTTTGAGTAAGGCTCCAGTACTCAAATTTCTTCTTATTTTGCTGATTCAGGTATTCTTCATCAAACCACAACCCCCCACACTCCTCAACAAAATGGGGTTGTTGAGAGGAAACACAAATACCTCTTAGAAACATCAAGAGCACTTTTATTCCAATCTAAACTACCTGTCAAATATTGGGGTGATTGTGTACTTACTGCCACCTACCTAATCAACAGGTTTTCCTCTAGTGTTTTACACAATTTGTCACCTTTTGAGAAACATCATGATCATCCTCCTACATATTCTCACCTAAGAACTTTTGGTTGTCTTTGTTATGCTACTCTGCCAAAGGTGGGTAGGGATAAATTCCAACCTAGAGAACCTCCATGTGTGTTTCTAGGTTATCCTTTAGGAAAGAAAGGGTATACGATGCTCAATCTTACATCTCATTCCATTCTATTCTCTAAGGATGTCATTTTTCATGAGCATATCTTCCATTATCATTCTTCTGCACCTCCTACTTTTCCCAATTCTCCTGATTCCTTTACAGATGTTTTACATACCCCCATAACTTCTGCACCTTCCCATGTTCAGGTTCCTCACTCTATCTCACATGTGGCTCCTTCTCCTCATATTCCTCATTCCTCCTCTTCTCCTCCTTTTACTACCCTTTCTGTTGTTCCTTCTCCTCTACTCCTTAGGAAATCCACTAGAGAATCTAACACACGTGCCTATCTTCAAGACTATATCTTCTACTCAGCCATTCCTACTTTTTCTGTGAATTCCATGGTTACCTCTACTGAGATTCACATGTATGAACCTCAGTTTTATCATCAAGAAGCACCTTATCCTTCCTGGCAGGATGCTATGATTAAATAATTTCAATTTTTGGAGGCAAATCAGACTTGGGACATTGTCTTTTTGCCTCTAGGAAAGAAGTCCATACCATGCAAATGGGTATATATAATCAAAAAAAGGTCCGATGGTTCAATTGAGAGATACAAGGCAAGATTAGTGATTAGGGGTGATTCTCATAAAGAGGGCAAAGACTATTTTGAAACTTTCAGTCCAGTTGTCAAGATCACAACTGTCAAGTGCCTTCTTACCTTGGAAGTGAAGCTGTCACAACCCAAATCTAACCGTCGTGATGGCGCCTATCGTGGAACTAGGCAAGCCACAACTCAACATCTCAACACTAAAAAAAATCTTTGAACATAAAGACGGAAGCAATTAAATAACTTAGGAAAGCCTTTTTGAAAATAGAAATATCAAAAATACGATACAATCCACCCCAAAACCGGGGTGTCACAGAGTACATGAGCGTCTAAATCAAAATACAGTCCACTACAGTGTCTAGAGAAAAAAACTAAAAATTCAACTAGTGATAAAGAAGGAGAGTCAAGGCATGCGAACGCCGTGCAGCTACCTTGGTAGTCTCCGAACTTTGAAGCAGCAATCAGCAACCACCGCCATGACCAAAAATGCTTGGATCTGCACACGAGGTGCAGGGAGTAACGTGAGTACATCCAACTCAGTAAGTAACAAGTCCAAACTTTGGACTGAAAGGTAGTGACGAACTCAACCGGTAAAGATAAAATACAAATAGCTGAACAGAAACATAGGCATGCTTTCAAATTAAATAGGCAACTCAAAACAGTAAAGTGAAGCAGATCCGAACAGTATAAAGAATATAACTCTGCTATCTCTACATGCCAATGCACATGTTGTATGTGATGCACTATGCTGTCATACTCATGTGCTCACACTCTCGAATGCTCAACCACTCAGTAATGTACATGGCCCATACGGCCCAGGGAAGATCCATCCCAGTACATATACATCACTGACTATAAGTCACCCAGTATCGAGGAAGGCCAATCTAGCCCCGTGGAGAAGATCCATCTCCAGGTATCAAGTAATTCGGACAAGATCCATGTCCAGGGAAGATCCATCCCTCAATAATATCAACCGCGCTCACTGGGGGTGTGTTACAGACTCCGGAGGGGCTCCTACAATCCAAGCGCTATCATAAAATCAGTATAACCATTGCGGCGTGCAGCCCGATCCCACAACTGTCACTCATAATCAGGCTCTCAGCCTTACTCAATCATCAATCTCTCCAGTCTCACTCACGGGCTCACAATATCATGAAAACTAGCCCAAAACAATTATATGATGTATCAATAAATAACAACTGAGACGGAGATATGATATCAAATGCATGAACATGACTGAGTACATAATATCAATGAAATTAGTGAGATGACAGCAAGAAACCACCACTAGGGGTCCCAACAGTACCGACTTAAAGCCTAAACATGATATCTAGCATGGTTGACAGCTCAATTACTTTATCACAATATGAAAACACGGATATCAACAAAATAGAGTCACTATACAGTGCCATGGAATCAACTAGGCCAAAATTCTCATAGTGCACGCTCGCACGCCCGTCACTTGGCATATGCGTCACCTCAATACCAATCGTATAGCACATAGTTCCGGGTTTCGAACCCTCAGAACCAAGTTTGAAAGAGTTACTTACCTCAATTCCACAATCAGTCTAAAATTCCTTTGCCCCTCGAATCAGTCTCCAGACGCCCCGAATCTAGCCAAAAGCAGTACGGTATAATTAATATAGGTTAAAGGAATCAATTCCACAAGAAAAATACAAAATTATAAGCCAAAAATCTGAAATCGGCCCGAACCCGGCCCCCAGGCCCATGTCTTGAAATCCGACAAAATTCACAAAACCCGAAAGCCCATTCACTCACGACCCTAACCATACCAAAATTACTCAAATCTGATAAAAAAATCCCATTCAAAAAATTCTAACTCAAGAGTTTTTCGTCTTTTTCCCCATTTTCTCACCCCAAATCACAAATTAGATGATAAAATTAAAGATGAAATCATGGGATTTAACCAAAACCAAGTAGGAATCACTTACCCTAATCAACTCCACAAAACTCCCTTCAAGAATTGCCCAACTCCATGTTCTCTAGCTCAAAATATGAAAAATGGGTTCAAACCCTCGTTTTTGAAATTAATACTATCTGCCCAGTTTTCCTTCATCGCGAACGCGACAGTCCTCTCACGTTCGCGTAGGTCAACTCAAACTGCCTCCTAGTTTACTATTCGCGAATGCGATCAATGCTTTGCGAACGTGAAGCTTTACAAGCTTAACTCATCGCGAACGCGGCCCATACCTCGCGAACGCGTAGACCAAAGACCTGGGGTCCCCAGCTGCCTCACTTTCTTCGCGAACACGACACCACTCACGCGTTCGCAATGCACACGCAGACCACACCTTCGCGTTCGCATCCTATTCTTCGCGAACATGAAGAACAAAATCTTCCTAGATCACATTAACCCTTCGTGAACGCGAGACTCCTCTCGCGAACACGTAAGAGGAAACCAAAAAATATACACCATCAGATATCAACCATCAACTAAAGTCCAAAAAAGATCCGTTAACCACCCGAAACTCACCTGATGCCCCCGGGACCTCAACCAAATATACCATCAAGTCCCAAAATACTATATGAACTTAGTCGAATCCTCAAACCACCTCAGATAACATCAAAAATACGAATCACTCTCCAATCCAAACTTAATGAACTTCGAAATTTCCAAATTCTACAAACGATGTCGAATCATACCAAACCACGTCCGATTGACCTCAAATTTTGCACACAAGTCATATTCAACATTACAGACCTACTCCAACTTTCGGAATCAGAATCCCACCCGATATCAAAAAGTCAACCCCCCGATGAAACTTCCCAAAAATTCAACTTTCGCCATTTCAAGCCTAAATTAGCTACAGACCTCAAATTCACAGTCCAGACACCCTCCTAAGTCCAAAATCACCCAATGGAGCTAACAGAACCAACTGAACTACATTTCGGAGTAGTCTTCATACCATTTCGGAGTCGTCTTCATACCATTCCGACTACGGTCAAAATCCTAAGACTTAAGCTTCTATTTTAGGGACTAAGTGTCCCAAAACACTCCGAAACCAAAACAAGACCTTCCCGGTAAGTCACATAAGCAGAAACAGATGCGGGGAATGCAGTAACTAGGGGATCGTGACTAATACGCTCAAAACAACCGGCCGGATCGTTACAGAAGCATGGTTGTGCAGTCCACCAGTTGGATGTCAACAATGCTTTTCTACATGGAGATCTTCATGAAGAGGTGTACATGAAAATTCCTTTGGGTTTGACTGTTGATACCTCTTCTTCTGATCCTTCTTTGGCTTGCAAGTTGAAGAAATCCCTTTATGGTCTAAAGCAGGCTTCCAGACAATGGTTTGCAAAGCTCTCACAGTCTCTCCTTTCCAGAGGTTACTCTCCTAGCAAAAATGACTCTTCTTTGTTCACCAAAATCGTTGCCTCCTCGATTGTCCTTTTGGTGGTATATGTAGATGATATCCTTTTATCTTGAGACAATGATCAAGAGATGGAAGACCTGAAAGTGTTTTTAGATCAGCGGTTCAGAATCAAAGATTTTGACTATGTTCATTATTTCCTTGGTCTTGAGGTTTCTCTAGTAAAAGGTGGTTATGTGGTCCATCAACACAAATATACAACTGACCTTCTATCTGAATTTCACTGTTTGGATGCTAAACCTTTTATCACCCCTCTTGATCCCCAAACCAAGCTTCATATTGACTCTGGTGATCCTATTTCTGATCCTTCTACCTACAGAAGGTTGATAGGCAAGCTGAATTTTTTGCAGCACACCAGGCCTGACATCTCCTTCTCTGTTCAACATTTGAGTCAGTTCCTGGTGTCTCCTAAAGTTCCTCATATGATGGATGCACTACATGTTCCCAGATATCTTGCAAATTACACTACTCAGGGTATCTTACTCAGCAGCTCTTCTGATTTTACCCTAAAGTCTTATTCTAATTCAGACTGGGCTGCCTGCCCTATCTTCAAGAGATCTGTTACTGGTTATTTTATTCTTCTTGGTAATTCTCTTGTTTCTTGGAAGTCCAAGAAGCAGCCCACTATCTCCTTAAGCTCTGCTGAAGTTGAATATAGAGCCTTAAGACAGGTGGTTGTTGAGGTCTCTTGGTTGCTTAGGCTTCTTACTGATATGGGTTTGTCTATTACCTCTCCTATTTCTATTTTTTGTGATAGTCAGGATGTTGTGCATATTGTCACACCTCTTTTTTCCCACGCAGCCCTATTACGAGTTTGAGTTAGAAGAGTTTTTTCAATTGAAGTGACGTTTTGAAAAGGGATAATTTATTATTTAGAGTCGCCACTTGGAATTGAGTTTTGGTATTCCAAGTCACCTTTTATTTGAATCCCTCATCAAGTGGAAGGTTTGACTCCTAATTTATAGTCTACAAAAACAGAAGACTGGATAAGGAATTTTGTTGACCGAGGGAAAGGTGTAAGGCATCCCTCGAGTCCCGTGATTCTAACGCGGTCGTTTTTATTGGCTAATGTCCGGCTTAAATCAATTCTTGACTATTCTTGTATTTTATTGATTATGATTTGTCTATCTATTACTACTTCACTTAATTTATTATATTTTTGTTAATTGTTTTGACGTAGATGCGGTATGCACACAAGGTATTTATTTTTTTTGGATGTTAAACCAAGGTATGGAAATGTACACATGGTTAAAACATAATTATTGTAAATTTAAAAGTATCAAGACGCGGAATGCGCACATGGTCCTTTTATTATTTAAGCATATTAATCTAAGGTTCGGGCATGAATACATGGACTAGTATTGAAAGTGCGTCTAAACTTTTTCTAGTGTATTTAGAGTTATTCTCCTAAACTAATTTGAGATTGTGGGGAGGTCATGATTTATGGAAGTTTTTACTGAGAAGTGTATGATTTATTGAATTATTCAAGAATTTAAGCGAAACAATGTTGAAAGTAAAAGAGAAATGGGTCGACTTGATCATTCACACCAAGATTTGAACGACCAAATTCATTTAATAAAATAACATAAAATAAAGCACCTTGAACCTTTCTCGTTTATTAGGCCAATTATTAAGTGTTGCGTCAAAATCAATAAGAGCCCAAACTATAAGCGGATATGAAAATAATACTGTTTTACGAAGTGTTAGAACCAAATAAATTAATTTGCATTATCTAATCAGATTACATCTAAGTCCACCCCATAATGTATTTTCTTTCTTTATTAATATTATTTAAGACTAAAAGAGAAACTACAAACCAAGGCAGTAGAACCAAATTCACGAATTTCAGATGATCATGCAACAATATTCAAATATAAAATTCCATAGCAATATTTAAATAAAATTAGATAAGAGGATAAAAGATGAACCTTTGACTAAGCCTTCCAATATATTAACAAGAAAAGTTCAAATATACAGCAACAAGTCATTTGGAAATTGTGAACCGCATACAAAAATCTCAATGAACTTTTAATCTCGACTCGACTGTTTTTACCCCGGACTAAACTACCAAAAAAATTGATTTTTCTGTAGTTGCTTTTTAATGGTTTTTGCAGTTGATTTTGCTGTGTTTCAGTAGTGTTTTGGGGCTATTTTGGCTGCATTTTGACGGGAATAGTAGCTGATTTTGGGTGGCTCCAATGGCTGGGTTTGGGACTGTTTTGAGGCTGATTTCAGCAGGTTTTTGTGGTAGGGGGGAGAGCTGGTTCTAATGGTGAGATGATGATGAAAAAGAAAAGCTGAAATGATGGAGTTAGCGGCGAAACGGAGAAGATGACGAAGCTCCCACAGTGTATATGAGAAGAGGAGACAAGCTTTTGTTTTTGATTTGTGAAGATGAAAGAGTTGCGGTGCTGCTAGCTCCTCTTCTTTTCTTTCCTTTTTCTTTTCAGATTCGTTCTCCTCCTTAAAATATTGGAACCCCCCCCCCCTGATTAAAGCTTTTACTCTATATATATGCATATGTGTAGTAGTGAGGATAAAGATATGCAGATGGTTTAAAATAAATGTGTGTGATCGTGTGCGTGTGCTAGTTAGACGTGAAAGGTCGGGGGAGTTAGGGGAATGGGACGTGAGATGGTCGGTGGGGAAGTTTTGTTAAACAAAACTTTATCTATTTTGACCTATTTTAACTTCATTTTTTTTGTCATTTATTTTGAAAGATAAGGTAGATTATGAAAATGATAATATTGATCAACCACTTTTAAAACCAAGAAAAGAAAAAAAAAATATAAGAAAATAAATATTTACATATAATTTAAATAATACTAAAAATGCCATAGCTTACTTATTAAAATATTAATTAAAATAAACCAAGTATTCTTTGTAAATTTTTATTTTCTCTTTACAAGTAGAAATGAACTATATTCTATAAGTATTTGAATATTTTTTTTTTTTTTTGTAATAATAATTTTTTTTTTCAAATAATAATCCTATTAAAAGAAAGACAAAAGTTTAAAATTTCAAGATTAGACCTAAAAGAAATATTTACACTAAAATAGTATAGAATTTGGGTGTGATCAAAAATTAGTTGTTCACAGCATGCCCCTCTTTGCTTGGAAGCATGAAGAGTTTTCAGGCAAAGAAAATGAACAAGGTGACTGATTTTTTACCTCACTATTATTTAAAAGGGAAAATAAGATAAATAAAAAAGATGTGACCGAGCCTTGGTTTTAGGCAGCCTACATATCCCGGGTTATAAGGGAATCAGGTCACGTGTAGTTCAAGTGGAAGAAGAGTGAAGGAGTATACTTAGAGGGAGAGTCGAGTGAAGTTCCGTCGAGGTTCCGATTCGCAACTTTACCATTATATCAAAAGAAAAAGAAAATTACATACTCTTAAAATCTAAGAGTTACAAAATTCCTATCTAAATGTCATCTCGAGTCTTGTCTTGATTCTTGACTTGCTTCCCCCATTGACTTTAGACTGAAACTTGATGTTCTCGATGCAATAGACTAGGAAATATTCTCACAAGCCTGTTTCTTAATCAGATGATGAGAAGATGGATCTTGAAATCCTATGTCTCTGCATGCATTATGTCAAAACTGGTTCGGCTGGTATTGAGATCAAATGTTTCACTTTCTTTGGCGAGAGCTGGAATCTTATTTTTATACATCCAATCTGTACTTTGCAGAAAAACCTGCAAGCCATCAGAAACAAACAAAACGAACAAAAACTTTCTGCCCCAGTTTGCACTAGAAAATTTTTGTGTGTTATTGAAAATACAATATACTATCTTTTTATTGCAAAATAAAGAATTGAAAAAGAAATGAGATTTTTTTATATATTTTATAATATTTTATAATAGGGATTGTCGTACCCTATGCTAACAAGAAGGAAGGAAACCAAGGAATATAGTACCCTGTGTTGACAATAAGATGAGGCTCATGGTAGTTTAGGATGTTACTAGGGAATATCATACCCTATGTTTGCAACAAGAAATGCAACCAGGGGATATAGTACCCTGTGTTGGCAATAAGGTGAGGCTTTTGGCATCTGGGATGCTACTAGAGAATGTCGTACCCTATGTTTGCAACAAGAAATGCAACCAGGGGATGTAGTAACATGTGTTGGAAATAAGTGAGGCTCTTGGCACTCTGGGATACTACTAGGGAATGTCGTACCCTATGTTTGTAATAAGAAAGGCAACCAGGGGATGTAGTACCCTGTGTTGGCAATAATATGGGGCTCGAGGAACTCTAGGGTGCTACTAGGGAATGTTGTACCCTATGTTTGCAACAAGAAATGCAATCAGGGGATGTAGTACCCTATGTTGGCAATAAGGTGAGGTTCTTGGCACTTTGGGATGCTACTAGGGAATGTCATACCCTGTGTTTGCAACAAGAAATGCAACCAGGGGATGTAGTACCATGTGTTGGCAATAAGGTGAGGCTCTTGACACTCTAGGATGCTACTAGGGAATGTCGTACCCTATGTTTGCAACAAGAAATGTAATCAGGGGATGTAGTAGCCTGTGTTGGCAATAAGGTGAGGCTCTTGGCACTCTGGGATGCTACTAGGGAATGTCGTACCCTATGTTTGCAATAAGAAATGCAACCAGGGGATATAGTACCCTGTGTTGCAATAAGATGAGGCTTGTGGCACTCTGGGATGCTACTAGAGAATGTCGTACCCTATGTTTGCAACAAGAAATGCAACCAGGGGATGTAGTACCCTGTGTTGGCAATAAGGTGAGGCTCTTGGCACTCTAGGATGCTACTAGGGAATGTCATACCCTATGTTGGCAGAAAGGAATGCAGCCAGAGGATGTAGTACCCTGTGTTGACAATAAGATGAGGCTCGTGGTACTCTAGGATGCTACTAGGGAATGTCATACCCTATGTTGGTAGAAAGGAATGCAGCCAGGGAATGTAGTACCCTGTGTTGGCAATAAGATGAGGCTTGTGGCACTCTAGGATGCTACTAGGGAATGTCGTACCCTATTTTAGCAGAAAGTAATGCAACCAGGGGATGTAGTACCCTGTGTTGAAGATAGGGTATTGGTTCCCTAAAATGAAACTAAAAATAAAATTATTACATGTATATTGGACGAAAATCAAGGATTTGAGAACTTCACTTTGCGGTGTTCGTCTTTTCACGAACTGTTTCCTACAACTGTTCTGTTCCTGTTCTGAACAAAGAAAGAATCGTTAGTTTTAAAATGGAGATCGGTTTGTGGTCTTGATTATTTCTATCTCTTGATCTCGGCTCATCTTCTTCTCAACTGCAACTGATTATTTCCTAAATACCAACTCCATTTCTGACCCCGGAGAACCTTTGGCATTTCCAAACTTTGCCATAACGGTTGGTCGTGTTGGACTTAACCTTTTTCAACTTTATTTTGTCTTTGTTGGCATTTTCCTTTTGGCTTCTTTCAAAGTTTTCCATTTCAAAGCATCGGCCAATCATGGCCAGTCGGGGTCGACTTGATGCCCTTGCCGAGGCTGGGCACCTTTTGAATATATCAGCTCGCTTCAAATGAGAACCTTGTAAATCGTTCTTGCCGTCTTTTCTTTGCCTTATTTTTTAAACAAAGATAGACCGAAAGGGATTAAAAGAAATATAAAACAATGGAATAGAGAATGAGTTTAAAACAAAAGGTGTCCCTTTCGGGGAACAGAAAAACGAACTTATCCGGGAGTACATGCAGACTTCAATAAATATGGCATGCCTTTTGGACTGGATGCCTGATCAGCTGATCTGTGTAAATTGTCTGACTCTTAGAAACTCATCACAACTTTTGACTTGAAACCGAAAAATCTTGCTCAAGATTGTGTTGATGCCATGGCTGTGTGGTTCCTTTTTTCGATCAACAACGCCCTTTGCGGGTTTTCACTATCTGATCTCTCTTATTTCTCTTCTCGACATCGCCTTATAGTGTCATTTGCTGGTTTTTACTAACAATACTCTCTCATTTTTATTTTCTCGACTCACCATCGCCCTACAGTGCCAGTGAAGGTTTTTACCAATAAGACTCTCTCATTTTATTTCTCTAATTTGGTTGCATCTGCTCCTAGTAATCGTATCCTCCAACTCTTGAACATTCTCGCCAATTGATCGGAAGGACTTGAAAGGATTTGGGTAAAATGAATTTGGATTGAATTACAACTTTGGAACCTTTCGGACAAAATCATCGTCGAACCATTGTGACATCTGCCCCAGTTTTCACTTTTGGGGGAATGTGGATTTTTATTTTGGTGTAACCGAACCCCAAAGTGAGGCTACCTATGTATCCTTTCGGAATCAGGTCGAACGTAGTTCAATTAACTTGAACTTGTTTTGATTTTTTCTTTTTGTTTTTTCTATTTTTCTTCTCTTCTCTTTTTTTTTCCTTTTTTTTCTTTATTTTCTTTGTCGTATTTTTTTTTAATAATAACATCCAGGTTCCAAAGAGGGTAATCAAAGAGAGGGAACCAGCTTAAAGGGTTTGCAAAAGAGTTAATGGTATTTTGGTAGCGAGAAAAAAAGCCTTTGTCATCCCAATCAGAGAATGTTAATGCCAGGTAATGAGTTAAACATATTACCTTTTGACTGCATCTGCATGGACAGTTATATCGGGGACATTTCCTTCTATGTCTCCCAAATACAATACTCCCTTCTAGAAACACTCTTGTTACAATGCACAGACCTTTCCAATTTGGAGAAAACTTTCCTTTAGCTTGTTCATGATGCAGGTGGATGTGTTTCAGAACGAGTTTCCCCACTTTAACCTTCCTGGATCACACTTTCTTGTTATTGGCATGGACCATTCTTTGTTAGTACAACTGCCTGTGGCAAACTGCATCCAATCATTTTTCATCAAACATAATCAATTATTCCAAACGGGTTTTGAACCATTCTTTATCCTCGATCTCGGCTTCAACAATGATCCGAAGAGAGGGAATCTCAACTTCTGATGGTATCACGGCTTCAGTGCCATAGACCAATCAAGTAAGTGCGACTTTATTTGGATTTGATTTAGGCTTACTATTCCAATTCACTGTTTATTTTCTTACACGCCTTATTTTCAACACATTCTATTTTTTGATTTATTATTTTGAAGTCTGACGACGCTTTAGGATCTAGGCTTGAAATCTGCAA